ATTTCATAATCATCTCTAATTAACACCTATAACCACAACGCTAAATAACTTTGGTCAACCTCTCTCTCTAACTCTTGGAATGGGTAAAAGACCATTTTACCCCTCCATGGTCTCCAAATCCAAGTCTTGACCAAACCCTAAAAGTCAACATAAGTCAACACTCGAGTCAACAGTCCCTGTTGATCCAACTCGGCGAGTTCACCAATGTGACTCGTCGAGTTCCTCCTGTCCTCAGAAAAATCGGGAAAACTCCAACTCAACTCGTCGAGTTGTCTCGTCAACTTGCCGAGTTGTAGCGCGTTTAGCCTATCAGGGAAAAACCCTAACTGACTCGTCGAGTTCGCTCATGCACTCGTCGAGTCCCTCTTGACCAATTCTCATTCAGTCGATTCTAAGCAGAAATAATGTCCCAAACTCTAGATCTAACTTCCCAAGGCTGAAATACCACGTAAAGCTGCAAGCTTTACGTCCATGCATGGCACCTAGGGCTCGAAATGCCAAAACAAGCTTTATTATAGGGTTTAATGCATAAAGGCTTGCCTCAATCTTGATAAAGCTTGGATCTTTGGGCTCAAGGGACCTCCGATAGTCCAGATCTGAGGTTTAAATCTCATGACATGCTCAAATGACTCAATAACCAAAAGATGGATGGGAGAAAACCCTAAAACTCTCTAGAATGAGATCTAACAAAAGAAATGGTCAAGATAGAAGCTTTTTACCTCCAAACAGAAGCTAACCACCGAAGAACATCGAATCCAAAAGCTCCCTCTCGTCCAAAGTCTCTTGTTGTTCAACTCTCCTCCAAGAATGCACCAAAACCCACAATATTAGCCTTTCTTTCTCTCACACAAGGTTACAACTCGATTAGGGTTTCTCACAGTGTAGTAGGGTGACAAGGGTGGCGGAAATGAGGGCTTAAGGTCCTTTAAATAGGACACAAACCCGGAAAATTAGGGTTTCCTCACACAGTTCCTACTCGTTGAGTCGGGGTCCTCCGACTCATCGAGTAGACTCTAAAAATCCCGCAACCATAATAGTCTCTACTCGGCGAGTTGGTGCTCCCTAACTCGTCGAGTTGCCCTGCCAAAAAGCAATAAAATAATTAAATATCATACCTGGGAGTCGGGATGTTACAAAATTGCATTTTTAGAATTCCCCTTACAAGTTGATTCCTAGAGATCTTCGATATGTTCCTAAAATTCAAATGCGATAACCTCTTGTGCCACAACCAATTTAGATGAGACTGATCACGAGAGAAAAAACTCTTCCATTTATGCCCGTGCAAGGACTCGATTTTTTCATCGATGGATGGTAGCGAGTAACAGTCTTTTGGACATGCTTTGTTTAAGTCCGTGAAGTCTATGCACATCCTCCATTGTCCATCTCATTTTTTAACCAAGACTGGGTTTTCTACCCACGATGGGAATATCGACTCCCATACTATTCCTAATTTTACCAATTTGTCGATCTCGTCATTTATTGATTTATTTATGTCTTTTGATTGCCCTTTTTTTCTGTCAAATTGGCTTACTTCCTGCTTTCTCATTTAATTTGTGCTCGATGAGTTGTCTGGGTACACCTGTCATGTCTACTGCCTCCCATGCGAATGTGTTAGCGTTTTCTTTTAAAAGTATCATTAATCCTTTTTTTAATACACATGGTAACCCGACTCCTATCCGTACTCCTTGGTCTGTATATTTGCTATTGATTGTGTTTCTTCTAGCCCGTTAATTGCTTGTGTTGTATCCAATTCCTTCGTTTTCACCCACTTTCCACCATTGCAATGGATTCCGTTGGTGGTTTACTATAGATCATTCCAAATTCGTTTTTCGTTCGAAATCGAACGGTACCGTGGATTATTGATACAATCGCCCCGAACTATCTTATTGCACTTCTTCCAAATATGATGTTGTATGTCGATGTTGATTGTACGATTATGAAGGCTATCGTCTGTGTATTTTTGGTTTGTATTTCCTAATCCATTAAAGTTAATGAAACAGACAATATCCCATTCGGATAAACAAAATTCCCCACAAAGCTTGTTAGATGCCCTGCTGGTTATTGCATCATTTTTCTTATTTGTTTCGGTAGTTGTAAGAAGTAATGTTCATACATGATTTCGGTCGAACTTCCACTATCACAATATATTCTATGAATGCCTACGTCGCATATTTGCTCATATATAAGTAGCAGACCATCTTCTTGGTGGTGGGGAATATGATTTGTTTCTGCATCAAACAAATCATGTAGTTTGCTGGTATCTTTTAACTGCAATGGATAGCTCATTTGTGTTGCTTTACTATCCGGCTATCGGGTATTTCCTTTGTTTGTCACTTAGGAATCCTTATATTACGGATGGTGCCAATGTTGATACGACGAACTCCATGCACATGTTTAGCTCTTTCACCCCAAAGGGTGTCGTCCAATTGGCATCCGTGAATTCACTCTGCGTAAGAATAACAAGAACTAGGTCAGACAACCTACCGAGGGTTGGACCCCAACATAGCTCTCCGATGCCTAAGTTAGACTGCGACTTTTTGGTGTTGCTTTTGCGTTAAGGAATATGTGTTCTCCTTACTTACCTCCTTGGTTATCGTGTCTCCGAGGGTATTTATAGGTTGTGTGTGGTTAGTAAGGCCCATTTCTTAGACCAGTCCTTCACCTATTACCCGGTCTGCGAGTGGTCGCACTTCCTGTCATTTCCTTGTTTATTTTATTTGTTTTGTACTATGTGACATATTTATGAGATACGATTCTGATGCTTGCGTACGATGTATTCGAATTCATATTTGCCCGAAACAAGTGGCAATGCTTGTAGCACCGACCTGATGAGTACCGGGCCGGTAATGGGTTTTCTCGGACTACCGGCCTGGTACACCATTACTTACTCTAATTCCTAGTATCCTACTTGAACTAGGTTTCCTTATTACCCCTTATACACCAACTTATGCATAAGGTATATTCGGAAATTACATAATAGATGCTCACTTATATTTATCATATTCTATTGTTATTATTTTGTTCATAGTACTCATGTTGTTTATTTCATGTACCCATGTTTTTGAATGTTCACTTTTTGTTGATATTATTTAAAGTTTTGGTGTTTTAATTTCTTTTGGGTGTTCTTTTATAAAATGAAATGTTACATAAGTAACCTTCTTGATGACCGATGAGAAGACCGCCATACTAAAGAGAGGTTTACACACTTTTGGATTTACGATAGTACTTACATGCTTTTTAATGCTTTTGAAGGCAATTGGTTTGGTTACTAGTTACCAAGAGATTATTGAATTGTGGAGACCATCGACTATGAGCGGGACTTGGCCCATGATCACTTAAATAAGTGGTTGAGTATTCATTTTCTACAATTATTTTAAATACATTTCATCTATATTTTTAGTTGCTAGCTACTTAATAAGTTTCTACAACTATTTTAAATACCTTTCATCTATATTTTTAGTTTCTAGCCACTTAATAAGTTTGTTATGAAAAAGATAATTTTTTGGAGTCATATATAATTGATACTTTTATAATTTATTCAGGGGCGAAGTATTTAAGGGGGCCAGGAGGGGCAATGGCCCCCCCTGATTTTTGGGCTAGAAATAGAAATTATACTTCAAAAAATTTAATTACAGGCCTGTTATCTTCAAACTTGGGCTTTGGCCCCTCCCGAATCCAGATTCCAAGAAGCAATTCGAATTCTCCAAGAAATAGTCCTCCAGACTCCAGAAATCAAAATCGGTTCTTCCCCAATTCCGTTCGCTGAATCGCTGCTGCCTGCTGTCGCTGTTGGCCTGTTGAGTCACTCGCTTCAGTCGCTTGGTCTCACACTCTCACTCTCGCCATCGCCCATCGCTAAGCGCCATTCACCAAAAATCAGGTATGGAATCCCGAATCTTGTTCTTTCTTTTCCAGTTCACTTGTTGCTGCCTGCTGTGCTGCACTGTTGGCTGTTGCTGCTGTTTGCGAGTTTCTCCTGAGTCCTGACTCCTCTTTTTTCTCGGTCCAAACTCCAAATTAGGGGTTAGAGTTTCTCCTGTCAATTTGTGAGTTTCTCCTGAGGCCCCTGAATGAAAAGCTATATGAACAATCTTGGATATTCTATTGTGACAATTGTAAGTTGCGTGGTGATATTTCGACTGTGCAAAACTTGCTGACCTGTTGAAGCCAGATTGTAAGATATCTCTGTTCTTGTGGAGTTGTTTCAGGTGTTATATTCCTTTAAACAAAGTTTTGATCTTGCTAATGTAGAGTTTAGATCGCAACTCACTTAATTAGGGCTTAATTTATTTGCAAATAAGTTATATGAAGTTTTTGTTTTGAGCTACAAAATTGATAGGAGATTTCTTTGTTGATTTAACACCTACAATTGTTCACATAAATCACCTTTGACACATAATCAAGCCTTCATTGATATGCACACAACTGTAGTTTAAGCAGCTCATAAGATTCCCACAAGGTAAAACTTCTGCCTAGCAGAATTCTCCTTGCACAAAGTGATAATATCTACCTTAAGATGTGATTAGAGTTCATGGGTTCATCACTTTTATAGCCTCTTCATTTAGATGTAGGAATAGCAAGTATGTGAGAAACCAACCTCCTGGTGCTCTAAAATGACTAAAATCAAAGAAACATAGTACAAAACACAGGAAAAAGAGAAACAGGGGAAACCTTTGGGGCAAATTTTCTAGTGTGTTTATTTGAGATTCTCAATCTAATCTGAATGGGAACAAAACTACATAAAACAAAGGAAATTCCTAGAGATTAGGAACGGACTCTCGGCCCCCCCTAGATAATTGTTCAAGCTCCGCCACTGAATTTATTAACAAACATTTAATAAAGTGTATTTATTACAGCTGATTATATGTATCCAAAAACATAACAACCTAAAACAGAGAAAAACAAATTAATTAATCTAAAACTTGCTCATCATATAAGAGAAAAAGACATGGGTTACAAAAGATTCAAATGATCAATGAAAAAGATCAAGTGATGTATATGCGTCTATTTACTTTCTCTAGTTTGCTAATTATTCCGCCAGATAACAATCTATTACAAAATTTCAAACAACCCACACACACACACGTATATATCGGATGTATACACCAACACAATATATAACCAAATGTCTTAGAACGAAAAAGGGGCTGGTGCTGCACTAAACAGGCGATGCGTTCCACTACCCACCGGACCACTTGCAGCACTCGAGCTTAGAAGATCGATCATGTTACAATCAGGGTCGCTACGCTGTTGTTCACACAAATCCGGCAACGATACTCCTGTAAAAGTAATCATACATTTCGAAATGAAAAATTACAGACATGGAGATCGATCATGTATGTGTAGATTGAAAGGAGCTAGCTAGGGTAATAATTAATGAATACCTTCACCGAGGGCCAAATTGAAGTGAAGATCGATGATGTTAGGGCATTTCTGATAACACGCAGGTGAGCAGAGTGTGACGATAGATTTTTTATCGAGCAAAGTGTCGGATGAAATACCTGTAGCGTTTCTATCAACGCCACAAGCTCTAATGCATTCGTCTGTCTCGATGTACTCTGATAATATCTCCACCACCACTTCCGATGTTCTGCATTGATATTCCACTTTTCCTTTCTTATCTTCGAAATTCTCCAACACGCATCTCTTTCCAGAAGATGAGATTGCAAATGAGCAATTATTCTTTGTCAAATCCTCGCATAAAATCTCACCTATAGATATATATTACGATGAACGATTAATTATGAAGCATGCATAATGGAGATGCATATAAATAAAGCATGTAAATGAGAGGGAAAGAGATACATACCGGTGGTTCCATGGAGGAAGAGAGATGAAGCAAAAAGGAGAACCAGAGAAAACTTCATTGGATTATGGATTGAAAGGAGAATAGAAATTATTGTGAGGATGAAAGTGATGAGAAAAATGGGCGGTGTGTGGTATATGTAGGGGTTGACGATTACAAAAATAGAAAGGGAAAGTCAGGAGGCCTCCGCATTGACGTTCCGGTCGCATGCACCAACTTCAAATCTAGAATACACAACTTCGATACACGTGTCATGTCATGTCTCTTCTTTTTCTTATTGGATATTTTACGTACTTGCATGATATTATTCGGCTCACTCTATTCACCACCTCCCCATGAGATATTAATTAGTTTTAATTTTAAATTGTTTTTTTTTAAATGACAAGTGTAATACGGTAATTATATCATTACTTGGTTGAGCGCTTTCTCATTTTTTCTATTATTTAAAATTTAATTAATTTTATTTTATAATCTAAATAGTTGGTATATTCTAATTTACTTGATTATTAATTTATGGTAATATAAAAAGAGTTATGTTAGTCGCACTTATAAAATATATACAGATTATAAGATTTATCAAAATATATGAACTTATAAGACAAATAGTACCAATTAGAAAAAGATTATGCTTATTTATTGTATTTTAGAAGATATGGTATATTTGTATATAACTTTTATTGTAAAGTGTGAAAATAATAATAATAAACTTTTAGTTTTATATTTTAGTAAAATAATGTTAAAGTCAAGTTTTATAAACATATTATAAATTAATATTTATGTAAGTGATTTGGTTATCTAAAGTGAAAACTAGTTTATATGTAGTTTATACATTATTAATGTTTTGAAAATCAGACTAATCATCTTATTGATTTGATGGTTCTATCGGTTCGACTGATCCAAATAACCGGATGACATTAGTATTACATCATAATTAAATATAAAATTATAAAATCTACAAAAACCTCCGATATAAAAATACCAATACAAATATGAAACTTAAATAAACAATGAGCATTAACTTTTTTTTTATCATGGAAGTTTTAATTTTGTCATAGTTTGGTCACTAAAGCTACCAATACAAATATGAAACTTAAATAAACAATGAGCATTAACTTTTTTTTTATCATGGAAGTTTTAATTTTGTCATAGTTTGGTCACTAAAGCTCTAATCGTGCTAATTAACCACTTAAACTATCAATTTTGTCACCATTTAACCATTTCAGGAGGTTTCGACCGGTTGCCACTTGCCACATAACTATGATGTGGCTCCTAGAAGACAATTAAACAATTTATCTTCTCTCATATGTCTTATCCATCTCTCTTCTCTCTCGTCTCATCTGCTCCCCATCAAGAACGGTTCGTCGTCTTTATCTACATGTCCTCTCATTGAAGAAGACTTCGATACACATGTCATGTCTCTTCTTTTTCTTATTGGATGTTTACTTGCATGATATTATTCGGCTTACTCTATTCGCCACCTCCTCTATGTCCTAGTTTTCTCTCCCCCCCCTCCCCCCATAAGATATTAGTTTTAAAATTAACAAAACACTAGTTTTACATAAAGACTAGGTACATCCGTGATTGCAATCCCTAAGGATTAGTGAGTATTTTGTTATCTTTGAAAACTCTATATTCAGTTGATCTTTATTACAAAGTACCATGATTTATGCTTGTAGTGCAAGACTTAGACTTCACACTGTCGGGTCTTTAAAATCATACAATGTGGCCATTAGCGTAGACATATGCTAAGACCGCTAGCTCAAATATAAAAGGCAATGTGAGTTTCCCTTGACTCGTCATATTACATGGTTTGATTCAACAAGTTGAGTAGGAGAGGATAGAAAGACGAGTGAGGGGGGAACATTGGTGGGATGACGGTGAAAGATAAAGAAGACCATAATAGAGAAAAAAAAGTGACAAAAAGGAGATGATCAACAAAAGTTTCAAGAGATATGAAGGTTGGTGTACCGACAATAGATAGAAAATGAGAATGAGAGGAGAAAAAACATATCTAAAACTAAAAAGAAGTGATGAAGAGGGGCGTACCTAGCGAATAATTCAATGATGGTTAGGAAAGATGAGTCTTAAGGATAGGGGTATGTGCTTTTTTTCTATAATTTAATAAATATTAAAAAATATAAAATATAAATAAAAAAGAAAAAGTAGTATTTTCAATATAAACGAAGATAGACTAAACAAATCGAATCTGAACTTTTCAGTTCATGAAGCCTTTGGTCATCCTGTTGCATGTAAGTTTTTAAAGTGCATTGTTGCTCATTCTCCCATTTAAAATTATATGGCTTTAATTATAATGAATGAGGTTGTTTCTTCAAATGAAAAAAATCCTTCCTATCAACAACTTTGTGGATCTTTTCTGTTTTGGTCCACGATAACCAAGATGGATCTTCAAAAAGGTTTTTGCATTTCTTAAATATCAATTTTATTATGATGCAAAAAATATTGAATATATTATATATATATATATATATATATATATATATATATATATATATGTTCAAATGTTTCTCACATCTATTGTGTGCTACGATGCACCAATAAGAATTTAGTATTAATTATATGTATATTAAATGCTATCCATACTTATAATTCATTTTTATGGAAACTAATTAAATTCGTCATTAATGTCAACAATAATTTTCTTTCAGAATAAATTTATATCTAGAAGAATGAGAGTGTATTCCAGCAGAATGAGAGTGTATTGTAGTAGAATACACTCTCGTTCTTCATATTCCATGCAACTTTATTGTATTTTAAGTGAGTGAGTCCTGAAACAAAATACGAATTCATATATAAACTAGGCGAATGCCCGCGCGTTGCGTAGAAACACCTACATAGTTAAATCTTTACAAATATATGTTTTTTTTAAATATAACAATAACGTTGTTGTTAAATTTGATATAATAATTTGTATACTAAATTGATATAATATATTGATTATTTTGAATTATATGATAATATATACATGTATTATAACTATATAATTTCAATCGTTTGAATGACTTCTACCCGCGAGTTACTCATGAATAAAATTAAATATAATATATGACTTAACGTTATTTATAGTTTTTGTTATTGTTAGTTAATTTTTTAAAATTTATTTTCTTAACGTTTTACTTTCTAGCATTATAATTATTTAAAACATCAGACATTGTTTTTTTATTTTTAAATGTAACAATATAATCATTTATATAGAGTTATTTTTAACTATTGTTATTGTAAGTTATTTTAAGCTACTTATTAAAATTTTTTTAACGATTATACAAATATCTTTAGAAAATAGTATTGATATTACAATTTAGTTTTTGCATTTAGCTTTAAACTGATAATGGTTTACACACGACAACGTGTTAAATCTAATAAATTAAGTATAATATGTTAAAAGTTAAAGACATAACTTTATAAGTAAAAGTAAAGATATTATTTTAATATTGAAATTTAGTTTATTTATGATTACACTTTAGGTTTGATATTTATTTAACCTTATTAACCAAATTATAATCATTATTAGAAAGACACTACAACTTATCACTTTTAACTATTTATAAATATTATTTGAGTTGTTTAAGTTAAACTAAAATTTATATTTAAGTTGGTCCTGTAATATTATATTTAATTTTATAATTTAAATATTTTATACAAATTGTTCAAAAGTTGTAGCTTTAAAATGATAATGGTTTACATCGACCAATATATTAAAACTAATAAATTAAGTATAATATGTAAAAAGTTAAAAAAACATAATTTTATAAGTAAAAGTAAAGATATTCTTTTAATATTGAAATTTAGTTTATATATGATTAAACTTTAGGTTTGATATTTATTTAATCTTATTAACCAACTTATAATCATTATTAGAAAGAAATTGAAAAGTCATGGGAGTTTCAAATGAATGTGGTGAAAGGAAAAATACATGAGAGTTTCAAATGAATGTGGTGAAAGAAAAAATGCTTCCTTTATAATATAGTATGAAACCTAGATGTGAATTCATTCTGAAAGAATCTTATTGCTTGACATTAATGACGAATTTAATTAGTTTCCATAAAAAGAGAATTATAATTATGGATATCATTTAATATACATATAATTATGGAAATCATTTAATATCTATATTTATTTAATTAAATAACTATTTAATTTACTAAATTCCTATTGGTGCATTTTAGCACACAATAAATGTAAGAAACAAAATAACCTAGCCCTATATATATACATATATATATATATATATATATATATATATATATATATATATATATATATATATATATATATATATATATATATATGTGTGTGTGTATGTGTGTGTGTGTGTGTGAATTTCATAGTTGCATGTGATATAGAGCAACTAAGATATTGGCAGAAATTAGAAATACAATTGGGATAAATGATTGCAAGATGGGGCACTTGATCATGAACCAAATCCATGGAATTTTATGTAAGTGCATTTCATGAATATACAATTTGTTACCATCTTTTTATAAAATAAAGCTTGAATGACTTGGATTTTTTTGACAGATGTCTAATGCTTCTCCAAGTCAGCATCTCGGTGTTTACTCAACAAAGAGGATGTGGATGAGGTTCTTTCTGAAAAAAAAAACAATTTTTTTAAGGCTATATAATAGTATAACTATCCATAAATATTAACTCTTTAACCATTCTCAAATGCAACAGTTGAAGGATTTTGTTCATGATAAATCTATCATCCTAAGATATTATTCCTAACATGACATGTTCTAAATCAGCATGTTGTTTTTCTTTTCTACCTTTTTCTACTTTAATCTCAAGAGAAACTTAGGTTGTGTTTGTTTCATGAATTTCATAGAAATTTGAAGGAATTGGAATGGGAGATTCCTTCAGTTACACATTTGGTTAACAAAATGGATGGAACTGAATTTCATTAGATTCCCCCAAAATCTGTATTCAAATGATTTTATCTGAATATACGACCCTATAAATGTAGATATCTATAATCAATTATTTATTTTTCTTCATAAGTCAATTTTAATGTCATATGTTTATGAAATCAGAGCATGTAGTTTGATGTTTATATAATTAGTGTTTAATAATTGTTTCATACATAAAATCTTTTGCAGTAAATAGCAATTCTATTATTTTATTAAAAGAATCACTAAAGGGGTTTTCGGTCATTTAACATAATTTCACTTCAAATTTTTTGATAGAATTGCAAAATAAACACAAAAAAAGAAATGAATGGAATCAATATCCTTTCTATTTTCTATCGACCATACACATGACAGATTCCAATTCCATTGAAAAATTTATTCATTTAATAAATATTCTGTGCACCACAAGTTCCGTTACATTACTCTGAGATTAATTGTTATTTGTAATTCCAATTCCTTTGACAGATTCCATTCATTACTCTGTAACAAGAAAAGGTTTTAGAAACCAAATAAAGAACTTATGGTGGAGAAATGGAAAAGAAATGCACCTGAGAATCAAAGTGTATGTTTTTACCCTCAACACCATAAAACACTTGATGCTTTTTGTGTTCTTATTCAACTTTTCTGTTAATGTTTGAAGGTTCACTTTTAGTTCCATTGAATCTCAAATAAGGGTGTTGTGTTGGGTGATTATGCATTCTATCCACTGATTACAAGCTGCCAAACTATACTTTGCTGATTACTTAATATACATGCAAAATGTCTAGTAGGGTAAACTTTCTTTAATTTTATCATTTTACCTTTATTTATAGTGGTGAATTTTCAAGAATTAACATGTTAAGATATTGTACTTTTTAACCTTTTCCTTATAAAGAGCACATGAAAGTTTTAACCTATTAAAACATTGCACTTTGGAATTTGAAACTTGTTTGGTATTAGTTACTGATAATACTTTCCATTTTTTTTTCATATAAGAGATTGTAGTCTGAAAATCCAACCAAGTATAACATTATACCAATTACAACATTATACTTTCAAAACCTAACATATTAGAAACATTATACCCTAATATGTTGATATTATCAGAACAACAAACAAGCCAAGTATGTTGCTATTTTTACCAAATTGCCCTAAGGTAAAAACTGTCTTTATTCTCTATTGCTACCATAAAATGGCACAGTTATACCTTCATTTACATTATTATAGTCTTACCATCTAACCTATTAAGATATTGTCCTTTTAATTGTTTTCCTATTAAGATTCTGTTTATTTTTTACTAAAAATTGTGCATTGAAATCTAACCTATTAAGACACCGAACTTCTAAAATTTTCCTTATTAAGAATTTATATATTGCTAATCTAACCACTTATAGCATTATAATTTCTATATCTATCTTATTAATATTTTTACTATTAAGACAATTTCACTTTGAAAATCCACTTATGACATTAATTACTTTCAAATCTTAACATTATACTTTGAAAACTAACCCCTCAGGAATTGTACTTTGACTATCTAAAGTTGTCTGATTTTGGCTATTACATATAGTCTTATAGTTCAATTTTAATGAAAGACCCTGATTTTTACGTCTTTTTCCTATTAAGTTATTGTATTTTCATGATCTAACCATCTATTACATTATAATTTAATTACAACAATATACTTTTGAAATCGAACATTTTGCTTTCAATTAAGAAAAAGAGCATATCTTATATATAAGGATCATGAAACTGTTTTTTTCCTTATATATAAGGATCAAATAATATACCCAAGATCTGTTTGATGAAATGATATTGTGATTCATTACATGTGCAGACACATGAGATTCTTCGGTTGTCAAAGCAGATTGAGGAGAAGTTGATCAAAATCTTAAAAAACATACATAAAACGCGGATAAAAAAGTATTTGTAAAAAACTAATTTTATAAAAATAATTTCATAGAAAACAAAGTTGTAACAGAATAACTTTCTAAAAAGATATTTAAGTTTTAAAAAAGTTATAACATTTTCTAAAAGAAGTTTGGATTTAATAAAAATAAAAATGCTATGGAAATGTAAAATAAAAAAAATAAGGGACCAATTTCGTAGTGAAAGATAAACCTTTGGGTTAAAACAGTTATTTTTTGTAAGTATTGTGTAATGTATTAATTTTGGAAAAGTTTGGTTTTGGAAATGGAAGCCAAAAGGTTTGGGTGGGTGTATTGGTAGTACAATACAACCTTCTTCACTCTTCTTCACTCATCTTTGTACAAAAAAAAATAAGTTTCTAAAGAATAGTAACTTTGTAAAAGCGATTTTAAAAAAAATAAAAATATAAAAGAAGCATGTTTTGAATACCGAACCGGCCAGCTCAACCGGTTTAACTGGGAAGCAGTCCGGTCACCAGTTTTTCAAAAACGATTCCAAATAGTAGAACTTCAATCATTTCAATTTATTTTCAAGGAGAAAAAAGAGGTAATATCTATACCTAAATATTAATTTGAATTACTATGAATCTCAACGACCAATAATTGGTATGGACATAGTAAGTAACTATAAATACATAGAAGTTTGTGGAAAGATTTCCTTTTATGAATTGTGAAAAACCGGTTCAACCATACCAGTAAAACCGATAGAAAACCAGCTTAACCATATCGATTAAACCAATAAAAAAAACCAGTTACCCCAATAAAACCACTTCGAGTTTATGTTTAGACATTGTACCTTTTATCCATATTTTTTTTAATTATATTGATTATTCTCATTAATTTTATAACTACATAAGGTTCAATGGCCATTTTAAAACCTTTTTTTTTCAGATAAAAACATATAAATAAAACTTTAGGATTTTTATCTAAGTTATTTTAATTGTATAGGGTTTTTGTATAATTAATTAATTTTTTATCATTTTATATTTAAGTTATTAACTACATAAGGTTCAATGGCCATCAAACCGTTTAGACAATCGGTCATGTTTTCAAAACTTGTAGTAGTTTGTTTTTTTTATATAAATGGAAAAGATGGTTGTAACAACTTTGGACTTGATAAAAATTAAAAAGCTGTCAAAAAAAAAAAAATTAAAAGTCAAAGTTAGAAATGTTTATTTATTTGTAAGTATCGTAATGTAGAAAGGTGTTAGTTTTGGAAAGGTTGAGTTTTATAAAAAAAAACCGTTAGAAATGGGAAGTCGAAAGAGTTGGGTCGGTGTATTGGCGCTTAATATAACCTTCTTCACTCTTCCACTCTTCCTCGCTCATCCCGCTCGCTGCTCTTCAAAAACCGTTAGAACAGGGTTTCTTTAACACCACCTTCTTCTCTTTTTCTTCTATCGACATCACCGTTTCATTCTCAGCCGTTCAAGAATCCTCTGCTTTTCTCCCTTCGTCTCTAGGTAACGTTCTTATTTATTTATTTATTATTTTTTTTGTTGTATTTGTTTATGTTACGTATTTTTAATTCGGCCAAGATTTTTCAGGTCTCTCATCCTTACTGGATTCATCGGGCTATTGGGTTGTACCTTTATGCTTTGTAGTTGTAAGACGTCTGGTTGCGATGTCAGTTTGGTTCACCGTCTTCATCGATAAAAAAAGAGTACAGATCTTTCTCCTCTGATTTCTAGGTAGTGTATTTAATTGTATCTTTAACTCATCGATCATGAAACTGTTTTTTTTTCTCTTACCCAAGGATCTACTTTACTTGATTGCAGTCTTAATTTACACTACGACCTCTCTGGGTTTCTTTCTCTTTCTCCATTTAGTTTTTGTTTTGTTGGTTTTTGAAACAAGTAACCTAATCGAAACTAAAGAATCCATCAAACGAAGATGATTTGGTCGAGCAAGTGTTAATGTGTTGTCCGGAAAATTTAAATATTTTTGAAGCCCAAAAAGGTATTGTTTTGTTGTAGATTGTTTCTCTGTGCACTTTAGCTGTTCGATAAAATGTCTTAACTAAGTTAAAGCGTTGTTTTGAGGGTGACAATGTTATCGGATTAAACTATGTAGAGAGAAGTAAATAGACACAAGAAATTAAAATATTAAACAAGTTATTGAACTATGAGAGATTCAATTAGGAAAAGATAATTTAGTGTTTGTATTTTTAACTCAATTAGAAGTAGAAGTGTATTTTGGTTTTAACTAAAAGTTGCATATAAACTTGTGAATTTCTGTGTAATTAAGTTAGGTTTCCATTCCAATCAATATACACTAGGATGAATTTGGCGTGTTGATTGTTAACCAACTACTGCTAATGCTACAAAAATATTTGGACTTATGTTTGTAATCTTTTCTACTGCAGGATTAGAGATTGAAATTTGGTTTTTGGGGGCATAAGGTCAAATGCTTGAATCTTAATCAAATAAGGATACTTCCAAGAGGTGTTGTGATTTTTGTGGGTCTGTTTTTTTGTATACGTGTGATGTTCCCTCTATTTTTGAATCTTGTTGTGTGATATATTTAAGCTTGAATAAAAAATTTCTTCTTTTTTGACCAAAATTGGAGCATCACACAACCCAAAAGACTCTCTCCTCCACTCCTGCTGTAATTTATTTAAGAAACTGTCTTTATTGTTTAATTTTTGAATTGAAATTGGTCTTTTGAATATAAGATTAGGTCCATCTAACAGATGCATAGTTTGTAGACAAGAAACTAATTATACACTTCAACCTTCAAATTGCATCAGATGTTTTGACAACCGAATGTTGAGGTATAAATTTATCTATTTGTTATTTAGTCAATTCTTTTTTTTTATTATTATTTAAAAAGTCTGGTTTTATTTAGCGAATTGGGACACCAGGGAAGAGAAAGGCCACATGTTGTGGTCTTTGGTGGGTTGAAATGTTAAAAACAAGTGGTCAATATAAAGAGGTAATAATCATTTCTCTTTTGTGAATAAAAATATTATATACGAGAATTTTGTTAAAAAATCTTCATTTTTTTTTGCAGGAACCTCTTCATTAAGCTATGATGCATGCTTGAACAAACATTTTGTTATTGTTACTTTTTAGCTAAACCAGTTATGTTAAGAAAGTATGCCATCAGGTATTGCAATTTTTGTTACCGGATCACTTCTTAATACTTTAATAGATAACTTAATAGATAACTTTCATCATCGAATGTCAATGATTCTGTAGTTTCATCTTTTTTTTTTCTTATCAGGGCATTATGCTTTGAAAATTCTTCCATATTATATATAGCATTGTACTTCCAATTTTTTGACATTATACTTTGAATAATCCAACCATTTACTAAAAAGTTTGCCTAATTAAGCAGTCTTTTTATACTGTTAAACAACATGTCTTTTTTGTCAGGTTGTGGTGGTTTAGGTCCAAAAGGGAATCTTATGCAATTTTGGTTCTCAAGACTTCTTATTTCCCATTTTCATTTTTCTTGAATCTTAACAGAGTTACTTCCAGGTGCTAAAATGAGTGATGCTTCCAAGAAACTTGGAAAGTGTTAGGGTGCAAAGTCACTCTTGGATGTAGTGTTTTAGGCTTACCCTCTTGTATGTGTAAATGGGTTGAGTCTTTCCTATAAATAGGAAGTGAGTGACTCCCATTATGTAAGGAACCATTTGGAGTGTTAGACTAGAGAGAGAAACTTTGTACAAACCCATTTGTATATTCTTTCTAGATCTAATATGAGCTTACAAAGATTTATTTACTCCTTGTGTTCTTGATTTTACATGATGATTACTAGATCTTTCTAATTCCGCACATGCCATCATAATCAACACCACTACAGAAAGTAATTTGCTACTGGAGGTTCAGTTATGAAGGTATACATACTTTCAATAGCTGCATAAGCGTATAGGATTCCAATAATCAGATTCATTTTTAAATAATTGAATTTTCTTCCGTTATTCTTCTTAGTATCCAAGCAAAACAGATTTTATTAGCCACTAATTTTTTACACCATAAAACTTTAAGAATTCACTTTTAAATACCGTAAAAATACATAAACAAGAAATTTATTATCAACTTACCACAACTATATTAACGTCAACATATTTTTGCTCAGTTTTATGTAGTTCATATATAATTAGGGTGTTAACAATTTAGAATGTTGTAAACATTTGAATCTATTGGAGGTTCTGAAACTGCGATTTATTGTTGTGTTCCAGCCTCCAAAGTCTCCAAAGCTACAGTAGCCACCATTGTTGACAAAATGAAGCCTACGAGACAAGTTTTTCTTCCCACTCTATGATGAACACAATTAATGAATGCAACTACAATGGTGGCTGCCAAGACTATAAATAGAGACTTCATTCTTCAGTTGTATGCATCCCAAAAACACAGAGAAACAGATAGTATAACACTTAGAGTGAGAGTGTTAGTGAGAGGGTTGGTTTTTTGTAATAGTTGAGTGTGAGAGTTGCTCCTCCTATTGTAATTCTATTTTCGTGTTTAATAGAAGAGTTTTCCAACCCCAACAACTGGTATCAGAGCCCCGTTTGGTGTCCAGGGAATTTTTCACTAATTTCTCTGGTTTTTCGTCAAAATTGTTTTGTCTCAAAATCGATTTCTAGGTACACCATTAGAAAGATCTCGTTTCAAGGATTCCGAAAATATATTTTTCGTAATTTTTTGACCACGGGAAGACCTCCAAAACACCGGTCAAAGATTGGTCAAACCTGCCGGAAAATTCGCCGGAAAAACCAGGTGGCCGGAGAAGACTGCCGGAGAAGACGGGTGACGTCATCAGTGACGTCAGCATTGACCAGCTTTTCAGAAAAGTTGCAGTTTAGCCTCTGAAGTTTCAGAAAATTGCAGAAAGGTCCCTCTGTTTCTGAAAAAACTGCAGTTCGGTCCCTGTTGTTCTGAAAATAACTGTTTTGGTCCCTGGAGTTCTGAAAAGTTTCAGAAAAGTCCCTGGTTGGCAGAAATATTTCAGATTGGCCCCTGTAAGTTCCGAAAATTACAGTTTAGCCCCTGTAGTTCCGAAAAGTTACAAATTAACACATAACTTTTCAAGAAAGTATATTTTGACCCCGAAAAACTCTACCCCACCATTTTTGACGCTTTCGAATCCAACCGAGAGCTCGGTTTTATCTAATTTTTCCTCGAAATATTTGTAAAATAAATTTGCAATTATTTTCGATGGAATCTACAAGTACGATTACGATGGTTCGACTTACGCCCACAAATTACAACATGTGGAAGCCAAGGATGAAAGATTTGCTTAATCTGAAAGATTTAGCAGAGCCTATAGAAAAGCAAGGCGTCAAACCCAACACGAAGACAGACGAAGTTTGGACGAGAATAAACAGGAAAACGGTGGCACAAATTCGACAGTGGATCGACCACAATGTTTTTCATCATGTCTCTCAAGAGACAGACGCGTACAAACTTTGGGAGAAGCTCGAGAATATGTATCAGGCAAAGACGGCACGCAACAAGACCTTGCTGATGAGGCGCCTTGTAAACCACAAGTTACGAAGTGGTACGTCCATAACCGAGCATACGAGTCAGTTCCAGGATCTCGTAAACAGCTCGGTGCTGCTGATTGGGTTCTTAAAGACGAGGAACAAGCCATATTGCTCTTGAGTTCTCTACCAGATAATTGGGAGACGCTTGTTGTGACTCTCAGCAATTCTGCCCCCGGTGCTAAAGTGACAATGGAGATGGTCACAGATGCCCTAATGAACGAGGAAGCCAGAAGGAAAGAAGCTGGTACAGACCAGTCTTTTGCCCTCGTGTCAGAAAACAAAGAAAGAGGCGGAGGCAGAACTGGAGGCCGAGGTCGAGGTAGAGGCAGAGGTAGACATGGTCAAAGTAGAGGAAGATCCCAAGATCGTGGGAAATCACGAGATCGAGGGAAATCGCGAGAGCGAGGTAAATCTTCAAATACATGGTTCGAAGGCTATTGCAATCATTGTAATTATTATGGCCACAAAAGGAGTGATTGCCGAAGGTTCTTACGAGAGCAGCCTGAGACAAGCCAGAATCCAAGCAGGGAGAATGGTGAAACCATGGTCACCATAACACAAGACGTTGCCCTTGTTACATACGAGGAGGAAGCATGCCTACATGTTGAAACTCATGATGATGAGTGGGTGATTGATAGCGCTGCATCATATCATTCGACTCCAAACCGGGATTTATTCAGTACTTATAAACCCGGAGACCATGGTACCGTGAAGATGGGAAACACCAGTTTCTCAAGCATTGCTGGTATTGGTGATGTGCATTTAAAGACCAATGTTGGATGTACATTGGTGTTGAAAGATGTTCGGCATGTCCCAGAGCTGAGAATGAATCTTATCTCAGTTGGAGCTCTTGACGTCCAAGGATATGATAATCAATTCAAAAATGGCACCTGGAAGTTGTTGAAAGGTGTTATGGTTGTTGCAAGGGGAAAACTTGATGGTACTCTTTATAAAAGTCATGCAAAGTTGCTTCAACCAAGTCTCAATGTTGTTAAAGAAGAGACATCACCAAACTTGTGGCATAGAAGACTAGGCCACATGAGCGAGAAGGGATTGACGACTCTTGCAAAGAAGGAGTCCATTTCAATGGCAAAAGATGTTGCCTTGGATCCTTGTAAATACTGCCTATTCGGGAAACAACACAGAGTTTCCTTTAGCTCCACAAGAAAGAACCGCTCTGAGTTGCTGAGCCTTGTCCACTCCGACGTATGTGGACCCATTGAAGTAGAATCTCTTGGTGGAAGCCGGTATTTTGTGACATTCATTGACGATGCGTCACGAAAGGTATGGGCATACTGTTTGAGAACGAAGGACCAAGTATTGGACCGCTTCAAAGCTTTTCATGCAATGGTGGAAAGACAAACAGGCAAGAAGCTAAAATGTCTCCGATCAGATAATGGAGGCGAATACTATTCCCGTGAGTTCTCTAAATACTGCACGGAACATGGTATCAGACATGAAAAGACTGTCCCACGAACCCCACAACACAATGGTGTAGCAGAACGGATGAATCGCACCATTGTTGAGAAAGTTCGATGCATGCTCAGCATGACTAAACTCCCAAAGCCATTCTGGGGTGAAGCTGTATTGACATCTTGCTATCTAATAAATAGGTCACCTTCCGCTCCATTGAATTTTGAAGTTCCGGAGAAGATATGGACGGGTAAAGACATATCATATTCTCACTTGAGAGTATTTGGGTGCAAAGCGTTTGCACATGTATCAAGTGAATTGCGGAAGAAATTGGACCTCAAATCCACTCCATGCATCTTTATTGGATATGGAGATGAAGAGTTCGGGTACAGGCTATGGGACCCAGAACTAAATAAGGTTATTCGAAGCAGAGATGTGGTTTTTTATGAAAACCAGTATTATGATTTCAAGGCACCGGTTAACAAGCAACAAAGCTCCAAAGTTTCAGATATAATATCTAAAAATAAAGATGATGTTTCCACTGAAGAAGTGGATGAAGAAGTCGATGATGCAGATCAAGAAGGTGTTGAGCAGGGGGAGCTTCCACCCCTGGATAATTCAGATCCACTGCCAGAAGTTGCAAACGAAGGAACTCAAGTTAGACGATCCGAACGAGTACGTGCTCCATCAACAAGATATCCGACTTCAAACTACATCCTTCTTACTAGTGAGGGGGAGCCAGAGAGTTTTCAAGAAGCTCAATCTCATATTGACAAAGCAAATTGGCAGAAGGCCATGGAAGAAGAAATGAATTCTTTGGAGAAGAATCAAACATATGAGTTGGTAAACCTCCCCAAAGGAAAGAAAGCCTTGAAAAACAAGTGGGTTTTCAAGTTGAAGAAAGACGGCAAGGGAAATACTATGAAGTATAAGGCGAGACTCGTTGTCAAAGGTTTCCAACAAAAAGAAGGAATCGACTTTGATGAAATTTTTTCGCCAGTTGTGAAGATGATGTCTATTCGAGTTGTACTCGGATTAGTTGCCAGTCTAGATCTTGAACTTGAGCAGATGGATGTGAAAACAGCCTTTCTCCATGGTGATTTGGATGAAGAAATATACATGGAGCAACCTGATGGCTTTAAAGTCCCAAAGAAAGAGCATCTCGTCTGTAAATTAAAGAAGAGCCTTTATGGTCTTAAGCAAGCCCCAAGGCAGTGGTACAAGAAGTTTGATTCATTTATGATGAATCATGAGTACAAGAGAACTGTTGCAGACCATTGTGTCTATCTGAAGAAGTTTCCAGATGGAAAATTTGTCATCCTTTTGCTCTACGTGGATGATATGTTGATAGTAGGCCAAGATGCAATGATGATCAACAACTTGAAGAAGGATTTTTCTAAGTTCTTTGATATGAAAGACTTAGGCCAAGCACAACAGATATTGGGCATGAAAATTATCCGTGATAGAAAATCAAGAAAATTGTTCTTATCACAGGAAGAGTATGTTGAACGTGTGATCAAAAGGTTCAACATGGAAAATGCCAAGCCCGTTGGTACGCCCTTGGCTAACCACTTTAAGTTGAGTAAGAAAAATTGTCCATCTTCTGAGAAAGAAAAAGAAGAGATGAAGGTAGTCCCCTATTCCTCAGCCGTAGGAAGTCTTATGTATGCAATGGTGTGTACAAGACCAGATATTGCTCATGCTGTCGGTGTTGTGAGTAGATATCTAGCTAATCCGGGAAAACAACATTGGGAAGCAGTCAAATGGATACTTCGATACCTGAAGGGTAGTTCGAAACTATGTTTATGCTACGGGGGAGCAAAGCCAATCGTGGAAGGTTATACAGATGCCGATATGGCAGGAGATCTTGATAGTAGGAAATCTACATCAAGTTACATTTTTACTTTGGCAGGGGGAGCTATCTCGTGGCAATCCAA